CTTCGTGCACAACCTGCTGTTATACTTCCTGACCTACCCGTGCGCCTGATGGTTTGATGGTTGGGGCCCCTGGCTCCCGGTAAATCCTCGTGAAAACAGGAGGTCCATGCGGGCTGCTTGTGAGAAGCGCTCCTTGTGTGTTCACAAAGAAGGGTGCGTGGGCTCTCCAGAACCTCAAACCACGCGATCATCTGAACTCATCAACAAGACTGAGCCGCCACTTGGAAACTTCAGCCTGAACTTGAATGACAATCTGGAAGAGATTGCTTGCTGCCCGCTCGACACTGCAGCCTTGGAAGCCTTGGCCCCCCGAACTGCAAGCAATCTTTTTCAAAGCGAAGGAGCCCCTTGGGCCTTAAACACGAATCTCCCGTTGCTCAGCCCGATTTGCCTGTGAGCCTTAATTTGGCCAAGGCGCCCTCAAGCCAGAAGAGCACCTGCTGGCCGAGCGCGCGTCAACACGCTGTAATTGTCCAAAGCAAACGCAGCCGGCGGGCGGCTGAAAACTGCAGATTGAACGAGGGGCAAACTGTCGACACCGAAGGCTCCGGAATATGTGGCGAGCCTCTGTTCTTTCATGAGGCGGTGCGGCGGTGCATAAGCCGCACAGTCCCTGCTGTGGAGGGTAAAGCCAAATACAGCTGCTCAATGAGAGCCGAAGGCTTCGAAATTCACTCCCCCACGCGCTTTGCGCGAACGCGTTCAATCCTTGTAAAGGAGTTTCTGTCATCCATGCTTGGGCAGCTGGACAAATACTCCAGAAGACTGGGGGCCGCCACGATGTCCTCAGAAGCAACAGCATGGGCCTCGTCTCCACCAGCGTGTGAGTATGAGTTGGGTAGTTCATCCTCTTCTTGCCCGTTCAAGGAGCACAGCGCTGGCAGGCTCAAATCTTGAAAATCCGGAAATTCTCTTCCATCTGACGAAGCTAGCGTGTCGAGCACGCACTCAAAGGCACGCTTCCCTTACCAAAACAGCTTCCACCACCCCTGATAGAGCAAGCGGTGACATGCCATCACCAGGAGGTAAACCCGGGCCGGCGCAATGCCTCACAAGCAAAGCAGGGGTTGTGGGGGGGGGGGGGTGATGCAGTTGGCAATGCTTGGAAATCTGCGCTTGCGAGGCGCAAGCTGTCCACTTATTTATTGCTGGCGCCGGGCCTCACAGCAAACACTGTGCCCCGGACTGCGTGCCAACATTTCTGAAAAGCAACCTCGCAGGGCAACAAGCAAGTTTGGGTCAGAGTGTCACTTCCACGGCATGAGTCCGCGCCTACGCGTCTTTAATTTTAGAATTGTTGCGTTTCATCATCAACGGGGGCCTCGTTGTCCGCGCAGCAGCCCAGTTTGCAGTGGTGAACAATGGTGGTTGAGGACCAGTCCCCATTGAGCAAGCTGACGAGGCGGCGCCTGGAGCGCCGACCCCGCTGTGCTGCTGCCAAGGCGCGGCAACATGATCAGGGTTGCGTTTCATAGCATACTTGCCCAGAGAAATATTGACCTCACGCCGGTCGGCGCAAAGATGCAGCAGGCCAAAAGGGCAGTTCTGGAACTGATCCCAAATCCACATCATTCGTCTCCAGAACGCAAGGTGGTGCAACGATAGGCTCGTGCCTAAGAAATGAGAAAAACCACTGGGATATCCACCCATGTTGCCCACGAAACAAAACGCAAATCCAGTAAGCTTAGTTCTGCCCTTAACTGCATCCCAAATGCAAGATGGCCACCCGGGCACTAACCCATGAGGCAGACCAGCGGGAAAGAAAAACTGAAAAAAACTGGAAAGCTGCCCTCCACGCTCCCCAGGTCCTCGCCAGAGTTGCGAAGTTTCAGCATTTGCGATGTCTCATCCATCTCAATGTGCAACCTTAGCAGAGGCCGCGCTCGTGCGAGCAAGGAACTAGCCAGTGTGGCCGGAGGTTAAACCACCCGCTTCATGTCACTAACAATCCAAGAAAATCAGAGAAAGTCCATCAGCCGGAGCGTCAGTCGTTCATTTAAACCAATACCTAACTAGTCGAGCAACTCATCAATCACACCCATCAAATCAATCAATCAACCAACCAACGAATCAAACCATCAGTCAATCAATCAACCAACCCACCAATCAATCAATCAACCAACCAACCAAACAACCAACCAATCAACCAAGCAACCAATCAAATTAACCAACCAACGAATCATCAATCAATCAAACAAGCAACCAACCATCAAGCCATCAACCAAATCAACCGACCGACCGGCCAACCAACCACCCAGCCAACCAACCAACCAACCAGCCAATCAATCAAGCCAGGCAAATCAATCAACCAATTCACAAATCAATCAGTCAATCATTCAATCAACCAAACAAACTAGTCAACCAAGCAGTCAAAACAATCAAAAATATCAGCCCGAATCGAGCAGTCAGCCAGTCAATCAACCACCCATCCATCCATCCATCCAACCAACTTCAATCAAACGAAACACCCTTCAATCAACCAACCACTAGCCAACCATTCAGTGCTGACCTGTCAATCAAGCAATCAATCAATCAATCAATCAATCAATCAATCAATCAATCAATCAACCAACCAACCAACCAACCAACCAATCAGTTATTCAAGCAATCAAATCAGTCAGTCAATCAATCAATCAACCAATTAATCAATCAATCAATCAACCAACCAACCAATCAATCAATCAATCAACCAATCAATCAATCAGTCAATCCATCACATCAAATCCAGTCAAATCAAACCAAATCAATTCAGACCAAATCAAATCAATCAAACCAATCAACCAATCAATCAGTCAATCAATCAGTCAGTGAGCCAATCAATCAATCAATCGACCAATCAATCAACCAATCAATCAATCAATCAATCCATCAACCAATCAACCAATCAGTCAATCAATCAATCAATCAACCAATCAATCAATCAATCAATCAACCAATCAATCAATCAATCAATCAGTCAGTCAATCAATCAATCAACCGACCAACCAATCAATCAATCAAATCAATCAAGCATTTAATCGAACAATCAATCAACCAATCAAACAATCACGCTCCTGCTTTGCCTTGCAGTATTTACTGAACATCCGGAACACCAGGCAGCCCCTTGCTGTGTTCGCGAGTCTTGCTTGTTGCCCAGGCGGCTTCTTGATGCGCGCTTGGCTGTCGCGCGTTGCCTGGACACCGTTTTTCTGCTTCTCCATGAAAAGCTGCGTTTCGGACCTAAGCAAGCCAAGCCAGGCGCCTTTTGAAAGACTATCTCCTGCTCTAAAAAAGCACTGCCCCAAACCCACCCCTGCTTAGTGGAGCTGACAATTGACAAGGATCAAGCAAAAGGATTGCGCATCGAATTGCGCAGTGCTCAACCCTGACTTGTCAACGGCCAACGGCCCCTGCTCCAACGAGGAAGGCAAGAAACCTTCTGCGCGTGAGCCGCGCACGCACGGAACCAGAAGGCCGCGCTGCCACAGCTAAACTGCGTTGGACACTGCCGGTGTGCTCTGTCCTCGGCCTTCGCGTGCCCAAACCTTGGTTGGGCGCATGAGGCAAACAGCTCAGCAATTGATTGCGCCCAGTGGTGGCAGGGCCCTTCCAAAGGAAATATGCCACGAAGCCAAGGGTCGCTGCCTTCAATAGCGCTTGGGGCGTCCATGACTTCCACTTTCCCGGGCGGCCCTTGACAGCAAGCGCCTGCCATCCTTGGCTCACTCCCCGCCCACAGCAACACAAGCGCGAAACCTACTTGTTTCTTCGGGTCTTTGAAGGAATTGTGGCCCAGAAACAATGGCAGCCTTGCCACTGCCGAGGCTCCCCTGCCAGCTCACCACACCGCGTGGCCGCTGCCGCGCTGAGAAGATCCGTTGTTTTCTCAGCCTCTTCGCATTTTTTTGGCCAGCTTCTTGGCGTGCCTCAGTCAAATCTAGGATGCACATGAAGTTCCCTGCGGTTGGGTTATGTGTGCAACCGCACATGCAACAAAGTGGCTTGACCGCCCGAGCATACAAACATACATGCGTTCACCAGCACATACATGCATTACATAGACACAACTGGATCACATATTCGCGTGCATGCGCGCACGCTACATGCGCGCATGCATACATACGCACATACATGCACACATGCGCTACATGCGTTACACACAAACAGAAAACGGAGTAACATAGTCAGAGCTGCAGGCGCGTCGGCGGGCAAGTGCCGCAACACTACCGGCATCGCTGCCCGGTGTGTCAAACTAGTGTAAGCCAACACAAGAAGCAAAACAAAACATGTGGAACCACGAGATGGACGACCAAGGGCCCGGACAAGAAGAGTAGGCAACACAAGAGCACAGCATCACCAGCAAGGCCGCTTGTGAGAGAGCCCCGAAGCCTCCGAAAAGGTTCCCCTCAAAAGGGCCTAGTTTCGAGCTGGAAAGTGTTTGAAGTAGGTGTTTACCTTCGTTGTTGGATCTTAGATGATTAGAACAGAAATAGGATGCAGCAGCAACACCCCCAGCATCACCAGTAAGGCCGCTTGTCAGGGAGCCGCAAGGCCTCGAAGAAGAGGCGCGTCTCAAAAGCGCCAGGTTTCGAGCCGAAAATTGCTCCAAACAACCATCACGAACCACGGTGTGTTGCGTCACTTTTGGATCAGATGCGGGTTTTTCTGCGGTCTGCCCCCTGACACATGGCCAAAAATCTACAAAACGAGGGCTTAGCCGGGGCGTTCCAAATTGCCGCTGATTTTGGGAGCACGCTCCCTTTCTCTCACTCGCTCACTCACTCACTCACTCACTCACTCACCCACCCATTCAACCCCAAAGTATGATGTCAAGGGTCTGCTTTGCAATCTTCATTTGTTTGCTGGAAGTAGGCAGGGCAGGCAGGAGGCGCGTGGGAAAGCAAGGTGAGGCGCGCCAGGTGGCTTGGAGACATCTAGTGACAGGCTCGCGTACTTTCAAGTTTGTCAACCGTGTATGTTTGGAGGCGAGCCAAGAAGGCAACTAATCCTTGATTGCCCAGGCTGGCGCACGAGCTGCTACAGGAGAGGAACGCCGCGCAAGCGCACGAGGATTGGCGCCGCGATGTGACGGAGCGGCTGCAGCAGATTCGGCGCAAGCCAAGTTTGACGCTGAGCGCTTGCGATTTAGGGGGTGGAGATTTAGTACTTGCACCCCTTTTGAGGCTATCTCAAGGGCCCGGCTTTGTTCGAGGGGCTCTTCGACGTCATTCACAAGTATACAGTTTGCCAGGCTGGTGGTCATGACGATGTCATTGGCAGTTCATCTGGAACCCTATCATCCAATGGCTTGTGTGGCTCAAAATGGTAGATCGCCGAAGATTGTGGGTTTACTTTGGCTGTCCTTTTGGAGCAAGGCGGCGCAGATTGGAACTCAGTCCAAGGTCTGTTGTCGCAACTGTTTGTGGTCAATGTTGGGTTCGGGGCATGGGGGCTTATTTATTGTCAGCCACGACGACAAAACGAAGGGTGCTGCTAAACTACCCCGCAAACCTTCCCATGTGCTTATAAGAAACAACATGTTTGACCGTTTCTCATTTCACTACCGTTCTAGAACCATTAAACAAGCCTTGTAGACCTACTTTCAACCCAATGGTTTAACCAGTGGATGAAGCACGCTGTCCTCGCCAGGCGCTGTTGGGGGGTCTGGTTTGCTGGGCGGGCGCGTGCGAACCAGGCGCACGAAAACTCCCTTTGTTGGGATTGAGGTTTCGCACCTTCTGCTTGGCCCAGGAATGATGCGTTGAACGCTTTGGTCTATCAGCTCAAGAGAGACAACCTGACAGAGGCGAGATTTGCCCGCCTTGCCTCTGAATAGCAGCAGTGGCTGGTGGCCGTGAATAATCCACAATCATAAGAGCCATGCGAGAGCTGAAACGAGCCTGTGAACAAAACCTCTTGTATTCAGTCTAGTAATTTGGTGGATCCTTGTGTTCAAGTCTGGTCCACTTGGCGCTTTGGTTGTTGGACTCTGGGTTTCGCTTGTGCCGCCCAAAGCACGCAAGGAGTGTGAACACCTCACCACGATTGTCTTTCCTTAATTGTCTGGTAGAGGCACCCACTGCGCGCAACGGTTGGTAGCTGTCTTGTTTGCCTTTGCCGCCCAATAGGCGCAATCAGTCAACAGTACAAGAATTGCCCTTCGCCATTTTTGGCAACTTGACAACTTGCCCGGCTGGAGAACGCGAACGCTGCGGAACCTCACAAACCACAAATAGTGCACACGGCGAAGGCTGCAAGTCAGGCAAACAACTCGAAAGCGCGAACGTGCGAAGACTGCGGAAACGGAGAGAGTGCAAATCCCTGAAGAACTGGAAACCGCCTCAACCGGACCATAGCCAAAAGTTGAAAAGCACCCTAATGTCCAATTGAAAATATAAGTTCAGGTGATATCCTTGCGCGTCTCCTCGGGGCCTCGGAGCCCTATCTGTGTCAAAGCGTGGGGGCCTTGTGCCGTGAGACCGACCCCCACAAAAAGGGTGCCCTCCGCTCTGCCGGCTGGGAAAGTGCCGTGAGGGGGAGCTCTTCGCGCGGATCGACGCGGATAGCGACGGGGAGCTGAGCCGGTTGGAGCTGCAGGTGGGGGTGTTTAGCGCGACCCCACATGCTGAAACCTATGTTTTACAGAAAGCATTGCAAAGGGTTCGTCCGGAAAAATCGCTAGCCATTTCCCGGAGCTCACCTGCGCCAGCCGTCTCCCACCAGCAAACTTGCACAGACACACGCTTGTACGGGCACACACTACGTGCAAAGAGCCATCTGCGCAGGGCCCCTCGCCAAACACCCCTGGAAGCATCTGGGCTCCCACGGCGCGCCGCAAATGGCACAAGTTCTTGCGTTGGCTCAAGGTCCTCTGCGCCTGCTGCGAACATCCATGATCTTGCGAGTCGCGCTAGTGTGCCGGCCACGAAATCTTCAAAGCGGTGCGCCCGCGACGCCCCAAAGCACTGCTCACTATCAATCTATCTAGCCTGCCTAGTCCTTCGTCTCCATTTTTTAAAATGTATTTGTTCCTCTTCTGTTGTTCTTTCTTCTTCCCTAACTTCCACCCTTTCATTTTTTTGCTTTCTTGCTTTCTTACTTTCTGACTTTCTTTTTTTCTTGCTTTCTGTCTTTCTTTGTGTTTTCTTTCTTTCTTTTCTTGTCGTATCTTTCTTTCTTCTGCTTGTGTTCTTTCTTCTCTCTTCGTTCTTCCTTGGCTTTTCTGGTTCCTTTTTCTTCTTCTTCCTCTTTATGCCTCCTTCCTTCTCTCTTCTGTCTTCTTGCTTTGTTCTGTCTTTATCTTTCTTCTTTCTCTTTCACTTACTCTAGCTTGTCTCTTTCGCTGCGCGGGTCTTTTTCCGTTTCTCTTTGCGGAGCTCTGCTCCGCCCATCGCAAAAGCCGCTTCTGAAACCGCTGCGCCTGCCACGAGGCCGGCGCCTTGCCTTCTGAAGGAGCTGCGCCTCTCGCGAAGCTTGCGCCTCTCGCGAGACCTTACGCAAAAGGGGTTCTAGCCAGCCAATGTAACGAGGGCTTGACGAGGCCCAAACGAGGCGCGAACGAGGTCGTCCAGAGCAGCAATGCCTTTTCGGCAACGTTAAAAGTCTACAACCCACCAGAGCCTTGGCTTTGCATCGTTATTTCCAAAGTTGCGCGCAAAGAGCGCTCCCGCAGCTTTAGCTGGAAAATACCAACCTTTTTGCGCAAAAGTAGCTCGCGAAGCGCATTCCCGCGGAAAGTCTGTACTTGCGCAACGCGGAGAACTCGCGCAAAATTGCGCAGAACATCATTGCGCAGGATTTTTTGCCAGGGCAACTTGAGCAGAAGGGTTGCTCGCAGCATCTTGCGCCAGGAGCTTGCGCAAAGCGCTTGGAACAGCAACTTGCGAGCCACTGTCTTGCTCGCAGAGTTTGCTCAGGGCAACCTGCGTAAAACAACATGCTTAGTGCGCTCTCAGAGTTCGACGCGCGCAACTTGCACGGAGCGCCTTGCGCAGAGCGTTCCAAAAGAGTCAGCATCTGCAACTTGCGAGTAACTTGCGGGCAGCATCTCGCAGCGCAACGTTGCGCAGTCAACTTGCAAAGCCCGAAGCCAACCCACTGAAATCGCCCAACCTTGCCCGCCCAAAACGTGGTGTCCTGTTCCAACTGTTTCGAAACGAGACATTTGTAACCCGGTGTTGTGGACGGATCAGGGGCCAAGCGCTGTGCCGATCCTAAGCTAGTAACAACTAGAGACAGAGAGAGAGAGAGCGAGAGAGAGAGAGAGAGAGAAAGAAAGAGAGAGAGAGAGAGAGTGACAGGCTCTGGATCTTGACTGTGTTTTGGCTTGCCCAACGTGGCCCTATGAGGCTGCAAGCGGGGTGCCCTTTTTTGGAACCCGTTATGACCCTCACAAGTAGTGAGTCGAGATCTTAGAGGGCTAATGATTAAATAAAAAGTAATTACAAGCCAGCGGAGGTGGCCCTGCGGAAGCTGGGAGTCTCTCTGAGCACTTCGGAGCTCGATGGGATCCTGCGCATCTTTGACAGCGACGGAAGCGGGTCCACCGCGCCTCTGACGAAGCGGCCTAGAGTTGAAGCGGCTCGCTCCCGTGGAACACCCTTGGAAAGGACTCAATGCGAAGGGGGATCAAAATAGCATTAAGCCCTCAAAGAAAGCCAGGTACTGCTTTTAGGTTCGTTAGGCTCTCTCCACGACTTTCTCGAACAAGTTTGCCATTTTCAAGCAAGCTGGTTGCTTGGTAATGGTCAGCGCAACCAAAATACCGGGTTTTGCGAATAGCTGTTAAGAACGTACTCCTTTATAGGAGAGCGGGGGCCTCCGAAATTGTTGGCTTTTCCACAAGGCATTTGCTAGCCTGCTTCAACACCAGCCCTTATCAATCCTGATGTGTCGTACTTGGCATCTTTTCTTGAACAATGCTGCATCCACTTTGGTATGAACCGTTTGAAGGAGCATTTAGTGAGGACAGGGTTCGAGTAGAAGTTCTAGCTTCAACCAGGGTTCAAGTGTGCCTTGCTTAAGCGGGTTTGGATAAGAACTGTTCTTTACAATCAGGCTTTTAAGGTGGAATGAGCTGTTCAATCTGTTCAGTACAGAACTTAAAAGGACAGAACTCTAGTAGACTTTCCAGGTTTAACTAGATTTGGGATAGCGTGTCCTCTTTAAACATGACTTCAAGCACATGTTGCTAACTATAGTTCCTTTTTCAAGGCGCATCTCACGGCTGATGCGCTTTCGTAGGAGGAGCTGCGCATGCTTGCTGAATGAAAATTTGGGACATTCACCAGGAACAAATCTCGTAGAAGATCTTTTTCCAATTGGAAACGAAATGTTTTTGGTTTAAAAGGAGGATTCCAAACAAGTGCCAAATAGTTTTTCAAGCTCGAACTAAAGGCGGGCGTCCTTTCCCAAGAGGCTGCTTCATCTTGTGTTACAAAGATATGGAAGTTGAAAAGACTTCTAGTAGAAGTTCTAGCTTCAGTTGAGCTTAGAGGTTTTTTTTTTAAAAAAAAAGAGGACTTGCATTCGGAGTTTTACTTCTGCGTGCTGGCGGGGCGGATGGATGGACGCGATGCATGGCGGATGGACGGACGGATGGATGGATGGGCTGATGAGAGGCGGATACGGATGGATGGATGGATGGATGAATGCGAGGATGTGGGTGGGTGGTGGATGGATGGGGTAGTGGATGGATGGGCGGGTGGATGGATGGATGGTGGATGGCATGGATGGGTGGCATGGATGGATGGACGGATGTTGCGCGCGAGCATGTGTGCGGCACGCACGCGCGCGCGCGTCATCAGGACTGGCTTGGCGAAGGCTGGCCCCAAACGTAGGTGCTGCGAGGGACGCAGGCGACGCGCGAAACGCAAGGGCTTCCCAAAGCGTCTGCGATGCTGGCGTCGCAGCCGGGTTGCTGCTTATTTGCAGTGTTCTGAACCTTCCCTAACCCGAGCTCCAATGGCCGCGCGGGCGGTGATGATGCACCAAAGGCGCTGGACGCGCAGACGATGCGAGAGGTTGGCGGCAGCAACGGCAACACTGGTTCATGTTCTGTGCTAAGAGGATTGAGGAAACACCAATCAGTCTTCACACAGTGAAGTCCACTGAGAGTCAACAATGTTACGCTGCTATATGAAGCGCTGTGCTTGCCGCGAGAACATGAGCAAGAACCTCACAAGAAACCAAATCCTCCCATTCGCAAGGCTTGGCTTAGATCCACCGCATCATCATCCAAGGACGACCAGCCGAAGGCGCCGCCTTAGCGCGGTTCTCCACCAAAGGACTCAGCTTCACACAAGGAGAAAGATTTCTGGCCCTCGTGGAATTCCACATCAAACCGTTGGAGCAACTGCGCCTGTCAGGGCCCTGGAAAGAGACACGATACGGACAAAGAACCAGATCGACCGTCACAAAATCAGAGCCAGACGTCCGTAAGCCCGAAGCTCAGGAAGTTCCTCAGATTCTCGCAAGACCATAAACAACACAGATGGGGCCGGCGAGCTCCGCAAAGAGCCACAGCGTTTGTTCATGAACTATCAGAACGTGGATTCAAGGTCAACAAGCAGCATCCATTGGTATCCCAATATTTCGCTTCACCTGAGGGTGTGGTCCACTTTTATCAAGTCCGAAGAAGATCTGGACAGGTACTACAAGCAGAAGGGCAGCAACCATCCTACATGGAAAGAAGTCTGCGAGAACCAGCCCGAATGTGGGTATCTAATCAAACATTTTGCAGCTACGGTTCGTCTCAGAAGCGAAAGGCATGATCAGTATCCTCCAGCATGGTCTGCAGTTCAGTCTTCGAAGAAGATCCGGACAAGCAGCGGCCACAATCATTTTTGATGCAAAATCATGTTTGATGCATTTCTTGTTCGCCCCGGATGTCCTGGAATTTTCTTACCATGATTCTACTAGCAGTCAATGTCTTCCAGGTTTCAATCCGTATACACTTCAGTGCTTTGTGCGTGTGTGTGCATAAAGCGCTTCGGAACGCTCCGATGTTCTTGAACGGCTACGGAAACCACCTTCCCGGCCTGCTCGCGCTGCACACCCGCGTATCCAGGCTGTCGAGCCAATGACAAAGTTAGTCGGAAGGCAATGCCTAGGCATGCGCCCCTTTGGGCGACATAGCACGGCGAGGCCGGATTTACGTTGCTGACGCGCAGCCGGCCGCGGCGGCAGCACGACAAGCTTCATATCCGCTCGCTCTTACTCCTTTTGTGTTTGCGCCTTTGCAAGCAAGCCCGGTGCAAGATTCTAACCCTCCAGTCGCAACAGCAACAAAACAAAGCAACAGAACAACAGAACAACAAAACAAAAACAACACAACAGCAACAACAACAACATCAACATCAGCAACAGCAACAGCAACAGCAACAACAGCAACAACCACAACCACAACGACAACGACAACGACAACGACAACGACAGCGACAGCGACAGCGACAGCGACAACAACATCACCAACAACAACAACAACAACAACAACAACAACAACAACAACAACAACAACAACAACAACAACAACAACAACAACAACAACAACAACAACAACAACAACAACAACAACAACAACAACAACAACAACAACAACAACAACAACAACAACAACAACAACAACAACAACAACAACAACAACAACAACAACAACAACAACAACAACAACAACAACAACAACAACAACAACAACAACAACAACAACAACAACAACAACAACAACAACAACAACAACAACAACAACAACAACAACAACAACAACAACAACAACAACAACAACAACAACAACAACAACAACAACAACAACAACAACAACAACAACAACAACAACAACAACAACAACAACAACAACAACAACAACAACAACAACAACAACAACAACAACAACAACAACAACAACAACAACAACAACAACAACAACAACAACAACAACAACAACAACAACAACAACAACAACAACAACAACAACAAACAACAACAACAACAACAACAACAACAACAACAACAAACAACAACAACAACAACAACAACAACAACAACAACAACAACAACAACAACAACAACAACAACAACAACAACAACAACAACAACAACAACAACAGCAAACAGCAACAGCAACAGCAACAGCAACAGCAACAGCAACAGCAACAGCAACAGCAACAGCAACAGCAACAGCAACAGCAACAGCAACAGCAACAACAACGACGACGACGACGACGACACCGACACCGACACCGACACCAACACCAACACCAACACCAACGACAACGACAACGACAACGACAACAACAACAACAGATTCAATCAAACAAACAAAGACAGAAAGAAATACATAAACAAAGAAACAATCAATCAAAACCAACCAACCAACCAACCAACCAACCAACCAACCAACCAACCAACCAACCAACCAACCAACCAACCAAAAACAGCAACGACAACGACAACGTCATCAACAGCAGCAGCAGCAGCAACAACAACCTTAACAACAGCAGGAGCAATAACAACTACAACCAAACACAACCACAACAACCGCAACAACCACAACAGCCACAACAACCGCAACAACAGCAACAGACGACAGCACCACCAACAACACCCGCAACAAGAGTTGCGAGACGCTGCGCTGCGCAAGCGGCTCTGCGGGGAGCTCGTGAGCAAAGAGCCGCTTACGGGGGCGCTGTGGCGACGCGCAGGTTTGTGCTGCGTCAGCGCTTTGCAGCTTCCGGCCACGCAGGTTCCGCCCACTTTCCAGCGGCTTTGCAGGCCGCTTCCTTGTGTTGCGCAGAGCGCTGGTGCTACACAAAGCCTCATCAAAGCCACTCGTTTTTCCAGTCTGGAGGGGCAAGCCTCTATAGAGCCAAGATCTATGGGGCTGCCACCCTCTGCTGCCGACCAGGGCATGGAGGACGCTCGAGGCGGCTCTGCAAAAATTAAAGTGATGAGCGTCACCTGCGTCATCTGCTTCTGGCGGCCGGCTTGTTTTTGTGGGTTTGCGGTCTGCAGGCTTGCGCTTGTTGGTCTGCGGCTTTACCCGGGTAATGCGGGCGACGCTGGGGGTGCTGATGGGAGCTGTCTTTCAATCAGCACCTTGCAGGTGGGGCGTTGCCCTTGAAACGCTGGAACACGCAGGGTTTCACGGACCAAGGTACACAGCCGTTCGGCCGCCGAATGCACGTTGCTGGCGCACAACCGGCCGTTGCACCGCCGCGACAGTGAATTTGTTTAGCCGAGCAAGATAGCCGACACTGAAATTGATACTGCTCCTGAAGATGCTCGAAGCCGAGCAGGCAGCTCCTTTGCAAACCTGGTGCAAGAAAGTGATCCGCACGACACAGATACGCAACAGCGGCTCTGCGAGTGCGCGCGCGGAGAGACCCGCTTACGCGGAACTGCTTGGTGCTTTTTGCGCGAGGATAGGTTTCCCCTGCGTCACGCGCAAGCTTTGGCCAATGTTGCTCGGCGTGGAGGAGGAAGAAGGGCCTACCGGTGGAGTGGGAGATGCGGGGAAAGAACCACAACCGCCTGACGCAGAGCTTCAAGAATTACCAGCACCGCCTATCACACTGCCACCAGGCCTTCCTGTACCAGCTCTCGAAGCGTCACGTTTTCCACTACCCCAGCCGAGCACATGAAGCAATGCCAGCCGCGACACCTGCAATCACCCCCCCGCCACAATGACAAGCCCGCAGGAATGATGTCAAACTGGGGTGGATGCCGGAGTTGCGAACACGACTTCCTACCTCTTCTCATCTACTACTTATCTGCGGGGCAGATCGACATTGAGCGGGTGAACAAGTTCAAGAAGAAAGCTTAGAAGGCGGGGGCTGGCAAAGAGTTGAAGTTCGACAAGGTGGATGAGAACACGCAGACGGAACTCCTGGCTAAGCGAGCGCTGGAATGTAGCAATCGTCCAAGCGCACGGCGGCCCGCGTCGTGACCAGCAAGGAGCCTGCTGCAGCGAGAGATCAAGCTGCGCGGAAGGAAATCCAGATTGCCATGTGCCGACCCGCTGGCTTGACACCTTCGGTACTCCCGACTGATTGCCCGCAGTGACTTAGAGCGAGTCACTGATGTTTGCACGGATTCACCTATGGCGTCCCAACTCATGACCAACATGGGTTTAGCCCACGCGGCAATGGAGGACCTGGATGCGTTCTGCGGAGATGTGAGTGCCGCTTTCCTTCAGGGAAAAGATAACTTGGAAGCTCGTTACTCAACAGCTCCGCGGAGGCATTCCAGATGTTCCTGAGGATGCTCCCTGCTTGAGGTGTTGAGCCCGGTCTATGCGGCGAGCGTCAACAAGGAGACCCGACGGTCTGGATTAGAATCTATAATTAATTGCCTCATGAAGTTGAAGCCTTTGTCTTGCAGAACCCGGGCCCGAAGAAGGCGCCGAGTGGATTGCTGATTCTGCATGAAGAAGATCCGCGCGCAGCTTGCCTGTGGCAAGGTGGAGCTTTAATACTGTGGCCGTGGATGGAGAGCACTAAGGAGCGCGTCTCCATCACATGCTCTACCTTAACGGCCCCAGATGCAAGCCAGGTGAAGTCCGTGGTTGGAAGCCTCAGTTGGCTGGCACGGATTGTGCGAACGGACTTGAGCTACGCGGTGAACAGGCTGCAGTCTCTGCAACACAGTGCCACGGTAGAAGGCTGATCAAGGCGAACAAGCCGCTGGCTGATGCTCATGTGAGATGCGCTACCCCGTCAGCAAGATCGACTTTGCCAAGTGTGATGCGGTTAGCTTCACGGATGCTAGCCACGCAGCGGACTCTGGGATACCGCAGCCAATCAATGTGGTCGTGTGCCGGGGCTGGCGAATCCCGACCTTTCATGGCGCTGACCTGGACATCCCGAACCATCAAGAGGGTGTGCAGATCCGCGGAGACCTTGGGTTTGGTGGAAGGCTGCGAAGACGCGGAGCAAGCGCGTCAGATCCTGCATGGGCTTTGTAGAGCGACTGAGCAGAACCTTGGCGTGTGGAGGCTTTGGGCAAGATCGGCGTCAAGTGGCTCATGGACTGCAACCCTGTGCCAGTGCCTGCTGCAGCCGGGCACACGCGAGGTCGGAGACGAGGTTGGCCATTCATTTGCGGAGGCAGTGCGGCGAGCTGTATGGTTACCCTGTGAGCAGTGATGGGCGCCAGCCAACGGAACCACACAGGTTGTGCGGATTGACACATCGACCATGTTGGCCGATGGGCTGACCAAAGCCATGAATCAGTTTGGCCTGCAACAGGCCACGCATGAGGGCGGGCTTTCGGTCTCGATCAAAAGATCAAGAACCCAACCCGCGGAATCTGCGACCAAAGAGCAGAACGGGTGTGAAGACGAGCGTTGCCCCGTGCACAGGACCTCTCATTTTGGCGCTTTGGCCATGGATACACGGCATCGACGCGCTGGCTCATACTTGCTAAGGGAAAAGTGCTGACCTTTTGGTGTTGATTTCTGCCGCTCCAGTTTCACAGATGATGGCGAGCGCCATGATGATGATGGTGATGATGATGATGATGAAGCGGACGCGCCGTGAGACCTGCAACGAGACAAGCTACTGCTAGGGCCAACCTAGTTTGATGATCAACACGCTGATGACCATGAGGACGATACTGCGCATTGTGATGATGATGAATCTTCGGGTATGGTCATGTGCCAGGCCAAGAGCTCTGCAGATTAACTGTTTTTGTTCGACAGCCTCGGTTTTTTTGGGGGTCTTGGGCTTGCCAGGATTGGGAATTTTGGGGCAGTCTCGCATTTCGTAAGAAGTGTGAAAACTAATCCAAGCAAGCCCACGCCTCAAGAAGGCGATCCTCGGGGTCTTGGCCATGCCAAGAGCTCAAGATTCTGCAGGGTTGTGTTTTTGACAGCCCAAGAGTAGCCCAATTCTGGCAAGCCCAGACCCCTTCAAACAATGCAAGACTGTCCCAAAAAGCCAAACAATCCCTGGGCAGGCCAAGAGCTCTGCAAGATGTTTGTGTTTGGGGCCGTCTCGAATTTTTTGGGGTCGAGTCAAAGAATGCTACGGAACCATGACTGCGGCGTAAGGAGCTTCACTGTGGCCTCTGTTGAGGCTCCAGCGCATCACGCGTGGATGTTTCTCTCAAACGAGTTCTCCGCATGGTTTTGGCCATGAGGGAACGAGCTGAATGTGTCGCCCGTCACGTGTTTGGGTGTGCCCGCGCATTTCTGTATTTGCCGAGGACTTTTCTGAATTCTACCATCTGTTCCTTGGCGGAAAGTTGCCAAAGCAACAGGGGCAAAGTCAGTTTGACTTGTGTGAACAGCTGGCAGCTCAGGATCAAGTCTCAGGAAGACCATCTTCCAGACAACTACGCGGCTTGAATAATCGGCTGGCAATAGCAAGAAGATTTGCAGCCAAGGACATGAGTTCTAAAACAGGTCGCAGCCCAAACGTTTTCACGTCGGTTGAAGAGCATTCAGACAATGGTTTATAATTTTGGACAATCCCGCTTGTTGCGGTGCTCAATCACTAGATATCAAACAAGCAGGGAACGCGCTCTCAGATCGTGTGGCATGCGGGCCCCTTGCACAGCTCTTCGAATTCCAGCCGCTCTGGGCGTGACAGATGTTTTGTGTGAGAAAGCTTCAGGTTCTACACTCTGCGCCAATCTTTGCACAATTTTGGATCCGTTGCCAAGGGCACGGACGAGAATCAGGGCCGAGAGAAGTTGCCTGGCCGGAGGATATGTGCGCCAGGGCAGCCGTTGACAGCTTTATCCCCACAAAACAAACACCCCTGAAAACACTGCTTCCTGATTTTGCTTGTCCTGTAGTTGGTTAACTCAGATGCAGCACCTGGGCCGTTTAGACTTGGCGCCTCCAAGGGTCTCTGGAACCTTCCAAATGGGACACATTTTTTGCAGTTTTCCGGTCAAACAACCAACAGAACCAAGTCTAAAAAGAGACACCCATTCAGGCCCACAAAGGGTCCTGCTAAAATGTTTTTCGCCCGCTGACAAAACCAGACAAATCACGACCCTGCACTGCAATTCAAGCCAGACGCATATCCACATTCGTGTCTTCCAGTGTCTCTGCCACATGTCCTCGAGCTGCGGGCTTGTCAGAGCCTTGCAAACGGAATTTCCAGCATGCGCAAAAATGAAAATGCACAATGCTGAAAGAGCACAACTCACATAGATTGCCCATGCTCCAAAACTGCTGGTTCCTTCGTTCTGCAGTTCCTGAGCCTCCACGCCAGCAATCGCAAATGCTGACTGCACCGTAACGGAAAAGTCACACAAAACTGTAAAACCACGCGTGAGCTGCGTTTGCCGCTGAAATCCAGCCTGTCGCGCTCAGGTTGCCCAGGCACCGAGGGGCTTCCTGCCTCTACTCGTGGGGAAACCCAGAAAGAAAGGCGTTCCATAAACGCAGGGTCCGAAAAGAAGCTCGAAAGATGGGCGTGATGACTTCATTGTCATCTTCTTTCCATGCACTAAGTTGCAAACTGCTGCACTGACAAGCTCTCATTGTCTTTTCACAAGTCCAAAAACAGTGCGCGCATGTCATGAAATCTCACTCACATGCAAATGCGCCCACGTCTAATGAAGTGTCGCACGAAATCCAACTCATGAAAACTTGCGCCACTTATACCCCGCTGCGAAATTGCAAAGCCACAAATCTGCGTTGCAAAGTTCCACAAGGGCTGGGTCCTCAAAATTGAACACATTCGCTCGTCGCCTGCGCAGCGCCAGTGCGAACAAGCACAGACGTCCTGATTTCTCATCTCGGCAAAGCAAGCACTCCCTGGAGCAATCGTCGTTGGAGGGACCTGGAAAACTCGTGTCGCTTCCACCTTGTCATCACCGTGCCCTTCCCTGCTCTCTCTAAAGGGCGCGCCTCTGCGTTCTGCGTTGACAAAGCCAAAAAATGATTCCGCTGCCAGTAAGCCAGAGCCTCTCATGCCCGAGCCAGCAGCCACGTGTGTCAAATGCGTGAAGTGAAAACGGTTCCAGAGCGCATTTCAGCGCAAGCGCCACTTCGGTCACCTTTTTGTTGGATGTTTTCAAAAAACACAAGCAAGAGGAAACGCTTGCCACCTTCGGGCTCCTGTTGGCGCAAGGGTCGCGGAATGCCTACTTTTGGTTGAACGCTGTCAGGCGCCCCGCTCAGTCACGCAGTTTCAACCATCTCATTTGTCCAAGTCGGGCCGTGTACTGTGGCTCATCTGCAGGCCCTGTGGCAGAAACGTTCCTCCATCTCCTACGCCCAACCAGGAAGCTCTTACCCAAAGCTTTGCGACAAGGCCAGAAAAGCAACTGCTGCTTGGAGGAGCTGTGTGCGCAGGTTTGCAAGTTGTTTTGAACGTCCGCAGACCTCACCCGCGCCCCAGCCATGACGATGTTGATGAGGATGCCGCTGCAAGTTGTTGCGAAAGCAGGCCCCACCCCTCCCCGCCCACCTGTCCCATTATGACGCTGAGGTTGGCGCGGGCGCACGACTGCAGGTTCTTCTAAGGGCGGGCAGACCCCGCCCCCCCCGTGCCTCCCAGCTTCGTGCAGCAAAACCACGGTGACCAGGTTTGCAGAGCCCTGGATGGATCTGTTTCAGGCAAGAGCCTGATGCCTGATGGCCCTGGCATATGTGCTGTAAGTGTAGCACATGGGAACCGAGCGCAGCAAGCTCTTGTTTCTGTGCTAATGGTGGAAAAACGGATTGCCTAAAGCCAAAGGTCTGGAAAACACAGAACAAAACTGACACCACCTCTCTTCTCAGGCACCGAACTCTGATCCCAAGGCCCTATGCCATAGCCATATTTTATTTGCGCCGTAGCCATTGAAAAAAGTGGTCACTCGCTTTTGTGACTCGGACATGTTGGATTGTTTAGTAACGGGCTGGAAGATAGAATATTTATTTGCGAGCAAATGAAATTGCACATGTTGAAAAACACCGTGAGAATAAACTAAGAAGTGAGTCAGAATGAATCCGGTTCAAGGAGTTGGAATATCTCGACTAGACCAGATAGAACATTTCAACACAGACAGGATATTTCTTGAAAAGGGCTGCTTACCGACAACTGCTTTGAAGCAAATACTACACCTGCTAGCCCGCCGAACATATACATGAACTCCATGGGCGACCATGGGGGGGGCGCAGTTAGAATAATGGCTTTGGGGTCGGCAAACCTTCGTCAAACGTATGCATATATTCATTTAGAGAGCAAATGTTGGTTTGCTTCTTTTTGTGGGCGCCCCAGTATATTCCCAAAAGGGGTGGCCTTCCTTTCCTCTTGGCCAAACCCTAAGCAGCGCCGAGCCCAAAGTTTACACGCACGCCGTGCGGGGGGGGGGGGGCGGCTCAGCTAGAATACTTGTTTCTGGGCTGGGAAAAACTTACACCAGGTGATTAATATACACAAATTGGTTTGCATATGTGTTGGGGGAGCCCCAGTTGTTGGCAAAGGAGAGTGGCTTGCCTTTAGCTGAAAACTTCGGGATCATACCCTGCTTTCCAATGTGCTTTCTCACATGTTCCTGTGGTAGGTTTGCTTGCGCGAATGTGTCATGGTATATTTTGGCTCAAGGCAACAAGGTGCTCCGCTGCAAGCGCCCCAGGGTTTACCTCTAAACCCTAATGTCTTTTAGTTATCAGTCGTTCTTCGTGTTTCTTTCCTGTTTTTTCGGGATTATCCGCAGGAAGGCGGTAACTACCGCCGGTGCATGTGTCGCCTGGATCGCGGCGGCAAGTCGGCGAGGCGGAAGAGGACGCGTGAGTTCTTTATCCGGCTTGCGGTGGTCCTTGCTGGTATCTACCAGGCGCACAGCGGCACGAGCCACTGATCCGGAGGAAGAGGATGGCGAGGTTGTGGAGGAGCCTGCGCCGTTTGCAGCTGAACCCTCGCGCGCAGTGACCACGAGGGCCGGGGGCTTTCTTAGGTGTTTAAGCCCAAGCTGGGTGATCTTCGCAGGCTGAACACAACTGGCTCCCTGGTGACGAAGTTCTGAGATCAGAATCTGTGGATTGCTGCGAACACGCAGGCGTTTGAAGGAACCGAAGTCGAACTCTCGAGCGGCTTGCTTAAGGGCTGTGACATGTTCGATTTGTTCAAGACTATCCTTATTCCGCCAGCTTTTGTCCACAATTCCGATCAGGCGGTCAGAACTGCGGATTAGAGAGGGGAGACCCACAGTGTTGAGCGGCGTCTCTTGACGAGGAAAGGCATCCCGTTTTGTGCTTGCAGTTTTATTGGGAGACGTGGGGCTGAGGAGTATTATCAGGCGCGTACAGACGGGCGTGTGCGTTTGCTTTTTCCAGCAGTATTTTTTGGTATTCGATCGCAAGACGAAGGGCGCAATTGCAAAGCGCGTAGACGATCAGCCGTGGACGATCAGCCGGCGCTCTGCGACATTTATCAGCAGCAGGGCGCACGCTATTACTGGGACAATCGCGACTGGCAGCTTGGTGATCACGCTGAGGAGTTGGAGGACGAGACCACTTGGCGGTTCGAGGCGTTCGGCGCCGCTCGTGATGATTGCAGATACCAGCGGAAAAAGAGGGGTGCGTGAATTACCTATGGAAGATTCAATCGAAGATCCATCAAGTGAGAGCGTTCAACTGATGTCAGTAACGCTGGCCAATCCAACGCCGGTAAGTTCCGAAACATCACCACCTACACTGTGTCCTGCGCGGCTCATGCCAAGCTTGAGTGAACAAGGATAAAAGGGTACTTCATTACACCAGCAATCAGGTGCAGCCGGTACTGAATGATCAGAGCAATCAATTGCAGTTCAACCAAGTCATTGTTGGTGGATCCAGCATAAGTTGCTGAAGGTTTCGCAATGGCGCAAATTAGGCACCAGGAGGACTTGTCAGGGTTAGTTGCGTTTGCCGAGCGAAGGCGCAAATCTGAAATGTTTGAGTTGTCTAACGCAGGCTTAAGGGGCCAGGAGCAAGTGGCATCGCAGTTGAAACTTGAAGCGGGGACCAGGCAGAGCTAAATTCTGGGAGCAGGTGAGGAAGCCAATCAACCTGCGAGAGGGTATGACGAAGCTGAGGCCAGTTCCATGAACCAAAGATTCATAACACAGTTTCAAGGCCAAATGGATGCCTTCCACGCCAGGTGCAGGATTTGCAAACCGAGCGTGCGCAATTCCGTGCATTGGTTGGTCAGCCGGAAGTGCTGCGGCTATAGCCCCGGCAGCAGCAAGGCCCAGCGCCTGTTCACCCCAGCCCCAAGGGCTGGTTGTCCGGTAATCTTTTTCAACCGCAAAGGGCCGAGACCAACCCAAAATGGAAGTTCAGGTTGATCCTGATGCCTGTAAAGTGACCTCATTGCCCCTGCTAGTTCCTTCTGATGAACTAGATGATGATCCGCCCTTAGTCGTTGACTTGCTTTACTTGCTTGGCTTGAACAATTCAAAAACTTGGTTTTGAAGTTAGCCCAACTGACCCACTAACGCTTTCAAAACCTACGAATATGAGAATCAAAGCCTATGAGAAGATATAGGTAAATTTGATTCCTCGTGCAGCGAGTGAGATTAGGCCATGGAGAAACGCCCTTTACCCCAGCATCACCGCATGTTGCAAGAAAGACGAAGCTAGCTTGGCTGAAGAAAGCCAATTCGCCCGAAGCCGACCTGCCAACAGACAAAGACTTCCCTGTGCGGACTCGTGTGCTGGGAGCAAAGTTCCTCGAAGTGCCCCCAAGTGAAGTAAATATTTGGTTGA